TTTGGTGTACAAATTTGAGGTGCTGTGGAGAAGAGTAATTTCATGTAGAAGGCAATAATAATCAGTAGATAGAAAACAGTTAACAAAAAAAAGTTGGGAGGAGAAACATCCTCAATAGGGAATTATCTTTCCTGTTTTCTGATTGCAATAGAAGCCTAGATGGTAACTTTAAAATCTCAAATTATGGAAATAGGAAGAATTCCCCTGCTCAAATCAAAATGTATTTAGAAAGAGCTGAGAGTGCTTTTGATTACTTAAATAACACAATTAATTGTGTGGCTCTTGTAACTCCCAAATATCATGAGACATTATGGAATCTCAATCTTCTCAGTGAAGAACTAGCATTTTTTTTCCCTGTTAGATCTTCTCAAAGCACTATTGAATAATTTGTTAGAAAACAAATATTACACAAAATAAGAAAACGGTCAGTGGAGAGAAACAAGTAACACAAAAGAAGAAATACAAATGATCAATTAATACATGAAAAATGTCCATCGTCAGAGAAATGCAGACTTTAGAGAGATATCTCCTTATGGTCATCAAGTTGGCAAATGTTTTAAAAATGCAAGAAAAAATAATTCTTTTTTTTTATTGGCAGTGGTGTGAAGGGACATGATACTAGTTCTGGTCCAATTACTGTAATCTTTTGTGAAATAATTACCAAATTACTTAAAAACTACTGGTTCACTTTTTTAGGAATCTGTCCAAAAGAAACAACCAGATATGTGTAAAATTTTTTATATATAAACATATTCACAAAGGCAGTTTTATAGTAGTGAAAAACTGTAAACAACATAAATGGTGGTGTCAACAAATAGGGAAGGAAATAAGTTAGTAAGAAGTTAAATCTTGGGGGACCAGCAGTTAGCGTAATGGCTTTGTCGCTGAACTCCTATGTAGTTGACTGTGGTTCGAGTCCCGGACTGGGTGGCTTAAACTCATGCCGGGTGCATGTGCGTGCATGCCCAAGATCCCGAGAGGAGAATGGAGGAGAAGGGATTGTGGCGTGGCCATACCCCTTGGGGGGTGATTTCTTGCTTTTCTGTCTCTCCATCTCTCTGTCTTTATGGAAAGGGCACACGCGCTCTATAGCAAAAACCTCTCCAAAAAAATAAAAAGAAATTAAATCATAGCAGTATATCACAGTGTCTGTGTGTAAGGGCCCTAGAGCCAGACTATTTATTTGAGTACTACTGGATCATCGGAAAACTCATGATGTAGCATGACTTTTCTGACAGCCCAGTATTTTGAATCCCTATCCCATTAGTTCCTTGCTGTGGGACCTTGGGCAAGTTGCCTACCTTGCTCAGTGTCCTCATCTGAAAAGTAGAGTTGTTGTAAGAGTTAATGAATATGTGGAGAATTCATGGAACTGTTCCCAACACATACTGCACAGTCAATAAGTATTAGTCATTTTCAGGGTTGGCACTACTATCCACCACCAATGCTTATCATAAGAGACCTACGATCATTCCATTTTGGTAGGTGAGAGAAAGCTAAGTCCCCATCTGAGACATTGATGATGGTAAGCAGGTTTTGGTTTGGGGGGGTTTCTGTATAAAAAGTGGGTTCTAAAAAGGAGGAAAACCAAGGTCGGGGAGAAAGATATAGAAAGAGAAGGGGTACCCATCACACACAGGGCCTGTTTGGCATGCTTGCTGTTTCTGGTTGTGCTTATAAAAGTACACCCTACAAGGTACTAATGGTTAAGAAAACTGGATCCTATGTCATCCACTGTGCTTCAAGTCCCACCCTGGTAGCTTGAAAAATATGCTGGGTGCACATGCATGCATGTCTCAGATCCTGACTGGATAGAGAAGTGGAAGAAAAGGGAATGCAGCATGATCACACCCCATTGTAGGAGTATTTCTCCCTCTGTTTCTCTCTCCTTCTCTCTCTGTTTCTCTGCCTCTTTTCTTGGCAAGCACATGCATCCTCTGGCAATTAAAAAAGGGAGTCCATATCAACCAGACTATCAGTAAATAAAGATTAAGCAATCAAGAGACAGGCTTTTTATTCTTGGGGAAGTATGACACTCAGGACAACTCAGCATTTATTTAACAACAGCTCAGGGTTAAGAAGATAGAAGTATGTTTTAAAGGGTGGTTTTCCAAGAGACCTATCAAAGTCTTCAAGTGTTGATTTTATATTCCTATCACATCAGGATACTAACGTACTTTGTAAGATGTTAGTTTGGCTAAGTAGATAGCCCTCCTGTGGATTTCTGAGTACAACTGTTCAAGGTATGAATTAAAGGCAGGAATAAACTATAGAGACCATTTAGTCTAGGAGTTCTCAACCTTTTATGTGCCATCAGTTCTCCGATAGGCTAATGAGGCTTGTGGCCCTCTCTTGAGAATATTTTTTTTTAATTTTTATAGGTTTTTCCCATAAGGTGCATGTCTATGCTCACCAGAGACAGTGAGAATTCATCCCCCAGAGGGGGTGGCTGGCCACACTACAATCCCTTCTTTATTCTCCTCTCAGGATTTTGGGCACACACACACACACACACACATGCCCAATATGATTTTCAAACCACCAGATACAGGGCTTGAACCACAATTGGCTATGTGGGCGTCCAGTCCAGCACTTTAATCAGCATACCACCTGCTGATCCCTTAAAATGCATTTTTAAAAAATAATAAAAGCACTCTCATTATCCAGCACCTTAACCACTATACCACCTGCTGACCCCTTAAAATGCATTTTTTTTTTTAATAAAAGCACTCTCTTTATATATGCCTAGGTCCTAGAACAGCGTAGGAATGACTCTTCAGTAGGGAGGAGGCTGCTTTTCTCATTCGATAAACTTAGTTGCTTCCCAGCCCTAGACTACATGTCTAACATGGACCTTGCCTGTCTCTGTTCCAGCTTTCTGTCAGATTTGGATTTCTGTCTGGATTGCAGCTCAGTCCTGCCCTTCCCCAGGGCTCAGGGTATGGTTAACTGTATTCGATGTGGCTTTTCTATCAATGTGCAGGACTTTGAAGGGAAGGTTGTGAAGACCTCAGTTGTGTTCCACAAACTGGAGACCGCCAAGCCTATGTCAGTGGAGGAGGGGCCTGAGTTTCAGGAGTCTGCGCCTGACAGGCACTGCTCTCCATGTGGTCATGAGGGGATGGTACAACACACTGGACAGATGTGCTCACCAGATGAAGGATAGGCTGTCTTCTAAACCTGTACCAATTGCAAGTTCCAGTAAAAGGAAGACTCTTGACCTTTTTTCTGAGCAACTCATCCTTCTCTCCTCTTCCTTAGAAGCTGAAGGATGCTGAGTTCTTAGATGCCTTGTCCATTCCTGTGGTTGCAGTGTTTTTCATGGGGGTCTGATCAAATGGGGATTACTTTTGTCTCTGAGTACTCCTAGCTGAATGTCTATTAAAGTTGCCTTTTTCTATAAGACCAAAAAAAAAAAAAAGATAATAATGAAAGCAAGGGATCACAAAGGAAACCCACTACAGTGAGGAGTTATCAAAACATTTTAATTAATTATATATTTATTATTAATATATCATTTTAATTTGCTAAAAGGTGCATGCACATGCTGAGATAGAGAAGGAAAGTGAAAAAGCAACCCCGATAGGGGATGGCCCATCACAATCCCTTCTCCTCTATTTCTCCTTTTGGGATTTTGGGCACTGCACGCACAACACATAACGCCCAAGATGTTTTTCAAGCCGTCCATCAGACAAAGCGTGCAGCTGGCCATGTGGGATCCAGCCACCTGAATCCACTATGCCACCAGCTGCCTCCCAATCCCATTTTATTTTTTAAGTTTGTGAGATAGTGAAAATATACATTGTTATTGTTACATTAATGAGATCTAGCTGCAGGTCTAATAACTGTTGTTACCTTGAAGAAGTACTGAGCAAAAAGGACAAATTGAGATAGCTACGACAACTCTACTGCAACGTGAAAACAACAGTGATTTCTACTGGTGCCTAGTTCATGGCCACTGTAAACTAGTGAAATTTATTGTGTGCATTTTTTATCAAAGAAACTGCCAAATTGATGGGGAACCAGCAGTTAGCGTAATGGCTATGTCACTGGACTCCCACATAGTCAACCACGGTTCGCGTCCCGGACCCGGTGGCTTAGAACTCAACCTGGGCGTGTGTGCGTGCGTGCCCAAGATCCCGAGAGGAGAATGGAGGAGAAGGGATTGCGGCGTGGCCATCCCCCCGGGGGGTGATTTCTCACTTTCTGTCTCTATGTCTCCCTCTGTCTGGTGAGCGCACGCGCCCTATAGCAAAAACCTCTCCAAAAAAAGAAACTGCCAAATTATAGTTAGAAGTTAAAAATACAGTTTCCTCCCATCCATGTTCTATCTGCAGACACCAAATTAACAACCCTAATCAAGTCCAAAGCTGTCCTGCCACAGATTAGCAAACTGCAGCCCAGTTTTTGGCACTTCTGAGTTGTCTGATTACACAATGAGCTATTTATTGTCTTAGAACTATGCAGATTCCTTTATTCCAAGCTGCTTTCTGTTGACTGAATTTATGATCTAGGCTTAGAGACAACATACACAGAAGCCAAGCTAGATTATTTTGAAACAAAATTAAAAGTTGGACTTACATCATTTGGGTTTCTTTCTTTCTTCCCAGACCAATTTTTAAGTTTATTCATCTGTGTCTTCCATAAGGATAAGAAAGAGAGGGAGGGAGAGAGAAAAAAAAAAATCCCCCAACAAGATCTCAATGCAAAGATCCACCTCTGACTTCAGCCAGCCCCAGGTCCTGGGCAAGTGTAAGCCCAATGGACTCAGGGAGGTCTCCAGACTTGAACTGGGTATTTTCCCATGTAGGATTGCCTCATGAGTATCTTGTTGTACCACTGACTGAGCTATGATTTTCTTTTCCAAAACAGCCTTTTTCTGTTAACAAATTATGATCAGGTCTTCTCAAGAATCAGTGAGGTCTGTATAAGCTGTTTTAAGTAATATTTATTTAGCCAAATATGTGACAATGAAGGAAGCCTCTCTGATCTGCTTTCAGAGTTCTTTTGGGCATGCGTGATTTCTTCATACCTCAGTAAGGTCCTGCGATCTGTGAACCCAAACTCGAGATGTATTCCTGAGACTCTGCCTGCACACGCCCTTTGAAAAATGCACCAGTGACAGGATTATAATTAGAACACTTACGCCTGTTATTATTAAGCCAGGAGAGCATCCAATAAAAGTTCGGCACAGGTAAATTGCTTTTAGCCACTTGTTAATAGCAATATAACCCAGTTCTTCAAATACTATAATATCCCATCCAAACCACCCAATCTACTTATGAAACTGGTTTATGTGGAAGAAAGCCTGGTTGTAAGAAACATGTTCCAGAGCATTCCTTTCCCTGCTAATTCTCTGAGTCTTGCTCTTAGGCTCTCTAATCTAACTCGTCAGTCAGTCAGTGCGTGATTGTTTGTGTGTGCTTTTCTCTGTCAGCAACTGTCCTAGACTGCAGTAACTGTGTTTTCCAGCTTAACTAATGCCTAGAGATGACAATTGCTTCCCAGTATGTCTTTTTTTTTGGAGAGGTTTTCGCTATAGGGCGCGTGCGCTCGCCAGACAGACAGAGAGAGACATAGAGACAGAAAGCGAGAAATCATCCCCCAGAGGGGATGGTCACGCCGCAATCCCTTCTCCTCCATTCTCCTCTCAGGATCTTGGGCATGCACGCACACGCGCCCGGCCTGAGTTTTAAGCCACCAGGTCCAGGACGCGAACCGCGGTCCACTACGTGGGAGTCCAGCAACATAGCCATTACGCTAACTGCTGGTTCCCGTTCCCAGTATGTCTTTGATGTGCACACCAACCAATTATGTCTCTAATCCCCCAACCAGCTCTGTTTACCAGGTGTCTACAGTCGGGAACACCACTCCCTGCCCTAGTCACTAGAGGGCCAGGTACCTGGGGACCCTTCAGTGGGAGCCCATTCAGATTATTCTAACCTCAATCATAAATTATTCTACTTACTATTTTGCTGCACCCATTCCTTCCCTCAAAAACCACAGTAAAACTTCTGCCCAAAGTTCCTCTGTCAGCTCATCTTGCTTCAGTGGTTCCCTGTATGGCCCTGCGTGGCATGCCCTGACTTCTGTTTCTCGGGAACTATGAATATTTTAAAGACAAACAAAAACCCTTTCTTCCTTCATGGTAATCATTTTTGTACCTGTGGTTCATACCACCTCTGCCTAAAACAAATTCCAGGGAGGCCCAGCTAACAGTGGCACACACTGCTGAGATACTGTTCCATAAACCAGATTTCCATGGGAGGTCTGGGTTGATTTCTGGGTCCAATCTAAAGGTTGGGCACAGCGCCATGCACCCATAATCCCGGTGACTCAGGGAGGCTGAGGCAGAAGGATCGAAAGCTTAAAGATGGCCTGGGCAACAAAGGGGGATAGGGTCGGTGGAGCCAGCACGATCGTGTTGGCATGCAGTCTCAGCTGGGAGGCTGAAGCAGGAGGATCTTTACATGGTGGGATGTTGTCATTTAAAAGGAAGAGGGGGAAACCAACAGGTGGCATGGTGGTTAAGATACCGGATCCCACATGGCCACCCCTGCTATTGGAGTCCTGGACCAGCAGCACCAGAAACATGCTGGGCCCCTGTGCGGGCGTGCCTAAGACCCAGAGAGGAGAATGGAGGAGAAGGGATTGAGGAATGGCCATCCCCTGTGGAGGGTGATTTCTCACTTTCTCTCTCTCTCTCTTTCTATCTCTTCAGTGAATCACATGCTCTATGGCAAAAATCTAAAATATATATATATATTTTTTAAAAAGGACAACAACAAAGTACTTTTTTTTAGAACATAGGCTCTGGAAGAACAGTGGCAAATAAGACAGACCAAATCCCTACCTTAAAGGAACTTACGTTTTAGTCTAGGGTTTATACATTTCCATGAGAGGGAGGTTCTATAATAAGTGGAACCTAGATGTGACCAAGCCCTATTCTCTTCTTCCTCACCTGGTTACTTCTGTCTAACATATGGGGTAAAGTTGGTAAAGGAGAATTAGGGAATCAAGGAATCCAATCCTATCTCTTCTCTGCCTGGATAAAGCCTACAGTAAGCACCTACTAATGTCTGGGCTGGGGAGAAAAAGGGCAGGATGGATCATTTAATTTTACTACCAGATGATTAGGAAGCTGCAAGATACTTAGGAAGGTCCAAGCTCCTTCCTGAGTGTTTCTCCAGGTATCTCCAAATGGAACTCACACCTGATGATGATGGAAGCATTTCAAAAATTAAGTGAAGGGTCAGATAGGCCTTAGAAAGCAGTATAGTGTGGAAGGAGCAGAAGTACTGCTTTACTCTGACTTAATCCTCGTCCCACTCCCGCTTGCCCTCCAGACACACTTATCCTCGTGTCTACTTCCACTTGGGTTTAGCCGATGTTGTGGTTCTGACAGGAAATTAGAGGACAGAAGTTTAGTGTCTTTTTCTGCTTCCTCAGAAAGGGAGTTACCTCCTTCCTCTTCCCAAACTTGGGTTCCTGGAGCTGTGGCCAAAGAGAAATGAATATTTCCTTCCCAGCCCAGCCCTGCCCACTTGGAGCAGGTAGTCTCTGAGAGCCCCTTGAGTTTGGGAGGTGGTAGAAACTGGTTCCACACCTAGTGTCCCCACAGCAAGAGCAGTTCACTGACCTCAAAGGAAAAACGGCTCAGCAAAGCAGATTCATTTTAGACAACACAGTCTAGCCTTACATGAGGAAAGCATGCTCCTCCCTTAACATGGGTTTGACTTTGTTCTTTTCAAAAACAATAATCCTTGCTTTATTTCACTAAAGAATCTTTGCTTTCTGGGCATGGTTTCCAGCATGAATCAGTGTCAGCTGAGAGTTGCTTTATCATTGTCATCTGGAATGTTTTCTGACCCCCCCCCGCCCAGATCTCTTGTCTAGTAGAAAAGGGGAAAGTATGTGAGCTCATTCTTGCTCCCTTTGATTTTCACTTATTTTATATATTACCTATAAATATATATATATATATAATATATATTATTTATTTAAAATATATATGTTTTCCTTTTATAGTACATCTTAAGAATTCATGGACAATTGGATGGGAATAAGAAATGGAAGTATTGGGACCAGCAGTTAGCGTAATGGCTATGTCACTGGACTCCCATGTAGACTGCCACGGTTCATGTCCCAGACCCGGTGGCTTAAAACTCATGCCGGTGCGTGTGCGTGCGTGCCCAAGATCCTGAGAGGAGAATGGAGGAGAAGGGATTGCAGCATGGCCATCCCCCCAGGGGATGATTTCTTGCTTTCTGTCTCTCTGTCTCTCTCTGTCTGTCTGGTGAGCGCATGCGCCCTATAGCAAAAACCTCTCCAAAAAAAAAAAAAAAGAAACAGAAGTATTAGGCCAAAATCTTTTTCCATTTGCATCTGTCAGGGTCCTAGAGGAAACAGTTAGTTGATACAAAGGATTAAGTGAACAGACTTTAATACATGGGTTATTTACAGAGGCACAAACAGACTTAAGGGAACCCAACAAAATATGGTGAAGACCAGGGACAACAGCCGGAAGCTAATACTATGCCTAGGCCTGTAGAAACAAGGAGAGATGGTGTTACTAGGCCCTGGTGAGAGCTCTAGCTATGGAAGAGAGGACATTTAAAAGTCCTGTGGCAAAGAGGAATCCAACCACTACAGAAACCATGACCTGACATGGCACAGAAGGATAAATAGATTTAACTGTCTTTCTTCCTGTCCTCTAATTTCCTACCAGTACCACAACATTGACTAAACCCAAGTGGAAGCTGGAAGATGAGGAAGGGCCAAATGACACAGTCTGCATATGTAAGCCTCTCGGGGTAAAAAGTAAGATACAAAAAGGGTCTCCACTTTCTAAGATGAGGTTTAAGCAGAGAGTAATCATTCTAGTTGATTGTCTCTAAGAAAAGAACTACCTGAGTCTGGGTAATTTATAAAAATAGAGGTTTATTCAGTTCATGGTTTGGAGGTCCAGGGGTCACATCTGGTAAGGGTGTTCTTGCTGGTGGGTAACATGGCAGAGATTAGGAGCTTGAGCAAAGCAGAGCATGTCTTGTCTCATTTCTTCTCCTTATAAACCCATGAGGACTTAATTGTGTAGGCTCCACCCAGATGTCCAGTCACCCTTGAACACACGTGGAAGTCCAGCAACACAACCATTACACCATCTGCTGATCCCTATTTTGCCTAGATTTTTAAGAAAGATATTTATCACTTTTAAAGTCACCATTCCACAAAGGCATAGGACATGGACACAGTGTGTGGAGGGCACTGCATACGGAAACCATCTTGAGCTATCCGCCGTCTTGAGCTACGCACCATCTTGGAAAGCATTAGGTTTCACTTCCTCATTGAGCAAACCGTTTCTCAGAAATCATGTGACCGGGAACCAGCAGTTAGCATAATGGCTATGTCGCTGGACTCCCACGTAGTCGACCACGGTTCGCGTCCCAAACCCGGTGGCGTCAAACTCACGCCGGGCGTGTGTGCGCGTGCCCAAGATCCTGAGAGGAGAATGGAAGAGAAGGGATTGCAGCATGACCATCCCCCCTGGGGAGTGATTTCTCGCTTTCTGTCTCTATGTCTCTCTCTCTCTCTGTGTCTGGCGAGCGCACGCACCCTATAGTGAAAACCTCTCCAAAAAAAAAAAGATAAAAAAAGAAATCATGTGACCAACTATTCTCCCCATGGGGGCGGCTGGGTTTCTAGGCAACGGGAAAGATCCACCCACACCAATGATTGGTTCATACTGCTCTATCTCATTTGCATTTTGAGCAACCAATCGGTGCCCACCAGCCTGTATATAACTCGACATTCTTCCTCAATAAAGAAGACTTGAAGACTTGATCAGCACCTCATCTTGTCTCCACTCTGTGTGTCTGTGTGTGTCTGTCCCTTCTCTCACTCCTTCCCTCAGGAAACCTGTTTGACTGTCCTGCGGATCAGGACAACAGTGCAACCAAACTCTTGTAACAGTGTAATGAGGACAGACTTTTCTCCAATTTCCAATAATATTTTCCTTATTTTTGTCCCCAGAATGGCCTTTACTGTCCATTTTTCTATCCGCATTCTGGTTACAGCAGCCCACCTAATCTTTTTTAAAAATGTCCTACTTTTTCTAGTCATCTCTTCTTCTGACCTTCCACTAGAATCTAGGCTTTTTCTATTCTGCTCCTCCAAATTCTTCCAACCTCTCCTTGT